TTTCTTTCTTTCTTTCTTTCTTTCTTTCTTTCTTTCTTTCTTTCTTTTTCCCTCTTCTTGCCTTAATATTCTTTCAAGGAACAGGGCAGGCATTGAGGAAGAGGCAGCAGGACACTTAGTTAAGACAAAATAATTGATCTTTAATGTTGCCAGAGTAGAACTGTAGGGATTTAACATGCTGTGTGTATGTGTGAGAGAGAGAGACAGAGACATACAGAGAGAGACAGAGACAGAAACAGACAGAAGCAGAGAAAGAGAGGGAGAGAGACAGACAGACACAGAGAGAGAAAACGACAGAGAGAGACAGAGAGAGAGAGAGAGAGAGAGAAAGACACACAGAGACAGAGACAAAGAGCGCGACAGAGACAGACATACAGAGAGAGACAGAGACAGAGAGAAGCAGAGAAAGAGGGAGAGAGACAGACAGACAGACAGAGAGAAAAAGACGGGGAGAGAGAGAGAGACAGAGAGAGAGAGAGAGAGAGAGCGACAGAGACAGACAGACAGAGACAGACAGACAGAGACAGAGAGTGATAGAGAGTGTGACACAGAGACAGATAGACAGAGAGAGACAGACAGCGACAGACAGCGACAGAGAGCGACAGAGAGACAAAAAGACAGACAGAGACAGAGAGAGATACACCTCTCAGCCTCCATCCCTCAAAAAAGCTGGGTTTGAGTCCAGCGGGAGGAAAAAGAAAAAAAAGGTTTATTTCAGAAGTGCTTTAAGCTCCCACTTCTCTTTCATTGGCACTCTTTCCAGTTAAATATCAACTTAATTAGCTTCTGGAACTGGAAGCTAATTTGGCTGGCTGATCCATTGCTACGCGCCAACTGCAAATCAGCTCGGAGGGTGGTGGAAATGGGGTGCCTTCTTCTCATTTTGTGGTTGCAGAGTTTTACCCAGGGGAGTGGAAATCGGGACCCTGCCCGGGGGGAGGGGAGCGGTGTCATCGCAGCCCCAAAGTGGGCAAGGGTCTTGCACCCCCCTCCCCCATTTGCTTTCCTGCCTACTGTAGACAGGGCAGGTGAGCGTAGGGGCTCGTGTCTGGCTTTGAAGGCCAAGGAGGCTATTTGGAAAGCGTAATTTCTGCGTGGTTTCTGATCGGAAGAGGTCGTGGGGGGGGGGGGAGATCTTTGACCCCAGGGGCAGTTCTTCATGGGAATGCTTCCCTTCCCAGGCATCCGAGAACCCGTCTGGCTCCTGGCCATTTGATCTGGCTAGGTAGACAGGGCAACAGGGAGCCGCTTCAATCTCTCATTTCAAGCTGAGTTCTTCCTTTCCCTACCAATCATTCTCCTCGATTCCCACCTTCCCTGACACCCAAGGCTACCTTCTCACTTCTAGGGGTACTTTCTCAGTAAGATCTCTTCCTCTCCTCCTCCTCCTCCTCCTCCTCCTCCTCCTCCTCCTCCTCCTCCTCCTCTTTTTCCTCCACTCCTCCCTCTCCTTCCTTTCTCCTCCTTGTTCTCCTCCTCCTCCACTCATCTTATTTTCCTTCTCCTCCTTCTTTTTCTTCTCCACTCATCTTCTCCTCCTCTTTCTCCTTCTCCCCCTCCCCTTCCTCTTCCTTGTTCTCCTCCTCCTCAACTCATCTTATTCTCCTTCTCTTCCTTCCCCTTTCCCCTCTTTCTTGTTCTCCTTCTCCACTCATCTCCTTCTTTTCCTCTTTCTCTTCCTCTCCTTCCCTTCCTCCTTCTTGTTCTCCTCCTCCTCCACTCATCTTATTCTCCTCCTTCCCCTTTCCCCTCCTTCTTCTTCTCCACTCATATTCTCCTTCTCCTTTCTCCTCCTCCTCCTCTCCCCCTGTCCTTCCCTTCCTCCTTCTCCTTGTTCTCTTCCTCCTCCACTCTTCTCCTTCTCTACCCATCTCCTCTTCCTTCTCCTCCTCCTGCACTCATCTTCTCCTTCTCTACCCATCTCCTCCTTCTTCTTCTCCTTTTCCACTCTTCTTCTCTTTCTCCTCCTCCTCCTCCTCCTCTTCCTTCTCCATCTATCTTTTCAGTACCAGATGACTCCTGAAGTCAGATGGATTCCCACCTTAATTTAGGATGGGTATTCTTTTTTTTGTTGGTGGGTTGGAGTGGGAGAAGCCACAAAAATCTTGACTCCCCCCCTCCTTGGCTACAGCTTTTGAAGACGGTTTTTAACTACGTTCCAAGGATTTAAAACAACCCTCCTTCCTGCTTTGGAAGAAGGAGATGCTGTGAAAGGTGTGTCCTTTGAGTAGAAGTCCTCTTCTTTGGGATCTCCCCAAGAGAGAGAAGGGGGGACCCTCGGCTACTCGCTGCTCCTCCTCCTCCTCCTCGGGCACGCCGGAGAGCTCTGCTGAACTCCAGCATTAATACAGAAGAGAGAAACTGGCGCTTAAGGAGAAGTGCAGTGACTTCCTTCCTGTTTACAAGACAAAATTAGAAAGCCCTGGGCAGCGAGGTATAAACGTCATTTCACATAAGGAGGAGGAGGATTCTTCTTGTAAAATTCTAGTTGTCATAAGCGAAGGGCGCCTGAGTTTCCCCCCCCCCCCCCAGCCTCTTTTTTTTCCCTCTTTCCTCCTTTCAATTTACCTCCTCAACAACTTTTCCTGGCGGGGGACGTCCAGCCAGAAAACGTGGTTTGATCGTTGAAACGCATCCCCATGGCTTCACGTGTTTATCAAACTCCTTTTTCACAGCAAGTGAAAACACGCCGTGCCGAAAACAGAAACAGTCCCTTTGCAAATATAACGGTCAGCCTGAAAAATAAAGTTGAATTTAAAACTAAATTACATACACGTACAGAAGGTCTCAAAGGTGCTTTTTTTTTTTTTTCCCCCCAAAAGGCAACAGGACTTTCTTGGGGGTTTTTTCCCCCATCTTGGAATATGTTTTGCTTCTCATCCCATAAGCTTCTTCAGTTCTGTTTGCAGAGGGGGAAAAAAAAACCAAGAAAGTCCAGTTGCCTTTTGGAAAAAAATGTACACCTTTGGGACAACCTGGACGATTGAGAGTCTCCATTGTGACCCATGCATATGGCGTTGAAGGAAATCGTGACCTTTCTAAAAACGAGGTGTGGCTGCTAATGAAATACCACAACCTTGTGCACCTCTTTCTTCCCAGTTGGGAGGCTTCTAGCTGGATTAAATTTGGAGCAGGGAACATTTGATCTTCTGGAAGAATTGGAACACGAGAGATCAGGGCATGTCTGGGATGGGAAAGGAAGATAAGATGAAAATAATGGAATGGAAAACATGACAATAATTGGACTTTGTCTTCTGAGGGGTCCTTGGTGCTCTCTGAGCTTGGCTGTTTGCTTGCAGACGTTTCAATACCCAAGATATCATTTCATCACCATCATCGGAGCAGCACTGATGATGTTACCTAGTTGGGTAATGAAATGTCTGCAAGAAAACAGCCAAGCTCAGAGGGCGCCAAAGACCCCACAGTTATTGTCCTTCTCCTCCTCTCTCTCCTCCTCCTGCTCCTCCTCCGGCCACTCTACTTCCTTCTAGCGCT